TTTTTTGTGGTGGAACCGGGGATTGAACTCAGGCTCTTGGGCTTGCCAGGGAAGCGCTTATTCCACTGAGCCATCTCCCCAGCTCCCCAATTTTTATTTATTTATTTGCGGTACCGGGGATTGCCCGAGTCTTGAGCAGGGAAGCTGTCTGGCTGTAGCAGGCACAGGAAGAAGGGCCGGCCGGCAGGGGGCGCTGTTCTCCTTCCCTCCCGGGCCTCGCCGCGCTGACCCGGGTCTGGGCCTCAGCGTGCTGCTCTGCTTCCTCCGCAGGGCTGCCAGGATCCCAGCAGTGTCCGCAGGGGGCCGCCGACTGCAGCAGGAGGCCGTGTGCGCCCGACCACTACCTGGCCCCGGACGGCCACTGCATGGCCTGCGTGCGCTGTGCAGGAGGTGAGCCCTCGGCTGGGAACCTGGACTGGGGAGGCCGGCTTCAGTTTTAGCTGCTCAGGCCTCAGGAGCCTCAGTTTACCTGTCTGGCTTGTTTTGTTTTTTTGAGGCAGGGTCTTGCTGTGTAGTCCAGGCTGGTCTCAGACAGTGTGTAGCCCAGCCTGGCCCTGAAATTGAAGCGATCCTCCTGCCTCAGCCTCCCGAGTGCTGGGATGACAGGCGTGTGCCCCCATGTCCCGCAGAAATGCGACCCTGTTTCTTCTGCTGTGTTGCACTCTGCATAATTACGCTAAGCATGCCGGGAGGGCTTCCCAGCAGGAAGCTACTGTGTGAGCCCTAGTCTTCCTGTTGGATGATGGGCCGTGGTCCTCTGGACCCTGTGTCCCCACCGCCCCTTCTGTGTCCCTCAGACGACCTCGTGGAGAAGGCCCCGTGCTCCTGGAACTCCTCCCGCGTGTGCGAGTGCCGGCCCGGCATGGTCTGTGCCATCTCAGCCACCAACTCCTGTGCCCGCTGTGTCACCCGCCCCACCTGCGCACCAGGGACGGTCCCCGGACTGCAGGGTGAGCTGTCCCCACCTGCCACCAAGGGCTGAGGTTTGTCCCTACTGCAGAACCCTCCCCACACCAGCCCCCACCACGAGTAGGTCAGCATGAAGCTTGGCTTCCTCATGGTACGCTGTGATCTGGTGAATGGGAGGAAACCCAGAATGGGCCTCAGGGTAGGAGGTTCTGAGGGGGCCCGGATGTAGCTCAGCAGCACCGTGCCTGCCTGGCAAAGGGCAAGGTCCTGAGTTCAATTCTCTGTACCAACCCCCTCCACCCCCCAAAAAATTCTTTCTGAATCAGTTGGGACCTTTTGATCTTGACTTCCCTGCACATCTGTGTGACCGCTTTAGGTAGATTAAGTTTCTAAAGAGGGACTCTCATGATGTAGCTCAGGCTGTCTCAAACTTGCAGCGATCCTCCTGCCTCAGCCTCCTGATTCCTGGGATCACCAGCATGTGTTGCTGCACCTGGCATTGGGTGTCCTCTTTTAGAAAGCTATTCAAAGATGGGTACCATATGATAGAGCTAAATGAGGTGGAAAAAACAAAAGGAGGAAGTTGTGGGGTCCGAAAATCTTGTCCGTGCCACAGGAGAACAGGCCAGAAAGTCCTGGAGCACAGCTGGTCCTTGAGGGAGTTGAGTCAGATTAAGGCAGAGAGAGGTTGGGAAGGTAACTCAGTAAAATAAGCACTTGCCTGGCAAGCACAAAGGCCTGAGTTCAATCTCCAGTTCTGAAAAAAAAAAAAAAAAAAAAAAGAGGCAGGGAGAGAGAGGGCTCCAGGGAGCTGTGTCCTTGCATAGGAAAGAAATGAGCAGTAAACGTCACGATTACTGCATTTGAACAACCCGAGGATCTCGCAAAGGTGTACTATTCTTTTCTCAAAGAAAGGCAAGGCTGGTGAGATAGCTCAGC